GGCAACAGTGAAACACATGAACTAATTGGCTGGAAACGCGTGATTATATTTATGATATAATTATGACGTCACATTAATTTATGAACTGATTGGCCGAAAACACGTCTCTCAGTTATCATGTGACTATGACGTCACATGAATTTAGTCCATTCTCACGAGTTCTTTTTCCCCCCTTTCTTTAGGATCAACATTTGTGGCTCCTATACGTTATTGGTTGATTTAACGGGTTTCGAACCATATTTTTTTTTTGCTCCTGTTCAACTAATATATATATATATATATATATATATATATATATATATATATTTATATATATATATATATATATATATATATATATATATATATATATATATATATATATATATATATATATATATATATATATATATTCAGTTCCGATTTTCGTTCCAACAAAAATAACGGTTTTTGGCTTTCGGTTCAGTTCCAAATGAATAATCTTATTTTATGTACATTCTTTTTTTAAATCATCTCTACTAGTTTATTCAATTGGATTGAATCTGCCTTCAACAATTAGTTTCGAGCGAAACTGAAACGAGTAAGTATTAGTGAACAGTAAAACAGAAAATTGAGAAGTAATATGCGTGCAATGATGATAATTATGTAGCTAACGTTAAATTAGAAAATATCCATAAATTTGTTACAGTAACAAAATGATTGAAGAGACATCAAACCGAAATAAATCGATATATTTTTTCAGTTTAGTTCCGGTTTTCATTCCGACCAAAATAACGGTTTTTTTCCCGGTTTTCAGTTCAGTTCCGATTCGTTAAGGGTCTTGCCTTGCAAGTGAGACAGTTAGAGTTATATTAATGACGCTCTATACAGCAACACGAGGGCTATTGGCGACTGACCTTATTATTTTGAGCCTCAATCAAGTGAAAAGGACGACACCTGAGCCGGCATCCCCGCTCCAAGCAACCACACCACAACAACGGGAGGACTTTAAGTTCAATAGATTTAATGTGCATCAATTCCCTCTACACGATAGTTTATCAGTGGCACACAAGGACTCGAACCCGTGACACGCCAACCACGAGTTCGTGACCGCTATCCCTAGGCTACCTTGGGAGAGCAACCTGTATTGATAATTTTTGCTATTTAAATAGGTCTGAGATAAGAAAGTGTAAGGAAATAATGGTTGTGAATTAAAGTATTATTTGATGTGTTAATCAATACTTGAGAGTCAACTAGAAGATCACATGCTTAAACATTGAGTCATCCTTGAAAAACAGACTGGATTCCTCATAGTGTTTGTGGTCGTGCCTTCCAAGCTGTGTGAGGAAAAAAATGTACTTTCAATATTTGGTAGAGTTCTATTGTTAATTTCACCCTCAAGTTGTGACGGAACTATCCGCGATCAATCCATTAATCCTCTTGGGAAATCTTTGGGCTATCAATTCGCATTATTTACAATCAACCCTTCGGAAGAAGAGGATCGTGATATTTAAAGTAATTTATATACACTCATGGACAAAACAATTAGCACACCATGAAATAATAGCGGAATCGTAACGAAACTTGGCATGAAGGTACATGTCGGGGACATATGCAAATGATTAGAAATGCAGCGTGATTGCGCATTACATATAGCCGATAGAAGGCATTTAACGTCGTTCTCCGTGGAGTTTAAAACAGGTAACCAAAGCTTGTTTGAGTGTGCTGAATCGTTTACAAAGAAGAGCTGAGGCAGACATGCCATTACGCCATTTTCGAAGACAATATGAGAAGCTGTCGCAGTTTGAGGGGGAGAACCATCGGCAGGATGGAATTCGCGTGGTCAGCTAGGCGAGTAGCTCGTCAATTAGGCAGCTCTGATTGTGTTGTGAGGAAGTGTTGGGGCCAGTGGATCTGGGAGATGTCATTTACATGAAGACCAGTCTCAGGATGCCTTCGACAGACCAGTCATCGAGAAGAAACACCACATCGTAAGAAATGCACGCGGACAGCCAACTGCTTCATCGGCCGCCATCCAGGCACTGGTAGCACCTTCACTAGGGGCTCCTGTGTCTTCTCGAATTATACGAAGGCGCCTGGCCGAAGGACATTTGAAATCACGGCGTACATTACGTGTCCTTGACGCCCACCCGTTGACGCCTCCGATTGAAGTGATGCTGCGCACGAGGAAACTGGACTGCGGCGAAATGGAACCAGGTTGTCTTTAGCGACGCGAATCCAGATTCAATCTCAGCAGTGATGACCATCGTGATCGTGTGTGGAGACCCCGTGGTGAACACCTCAATCCTTCCTTTGCTTTACAGTGACACACCGCTCCCACAGCTGGTGTCATGGTATGGGATGCCATTGCCTACAATACACAGTCACCCCTAGTATTGATCCGTGGAACGATGACAGCCCAGCGGTATGTCCCTGACATCCTGCAACCACATATGTTGCCACTCATGCAACGGCTCTTAGGAACCCTTTTTCAACAAGACAATGATCGGCCTCACACGGCAAGGGTGTCACAAGACTATCTTCGCACTGTTACTACCCTTCGTTGGCCTGCCAGATCCCCAAATTGGTCTCCAATGGAGCATATCTGGGATCATTTGAGACGGCGAGTTGGGCATCCCACGAGTTTGGACGAACTAAAGGCAAAGTTACAGCAAATATGGAACGAAATGTTTCAAGACATCATACAGAATTTATATGCCTCAATGTCCGATCGTATCGCATCGTGTATTCGCGCTAGAGTGGGTTTAACAGGGCATTAAATCCTCCGTTCTTTTGCATTTTTCACTGAAATATATAAATTATTCTTTCTAATCATTTGCTTATATAAAAGTAGTCATTACGAATGTAAAATTTCGTTTCATTTTGACTCCTTCTTGGTACGCTAATTTTTTTGTCCGTGGATGTATATAGTTGAATTTTTCTAGCTTGAAGAGAAAGTAGGATAGGAGTTATACTCGAATCAGGTGAGATTGCTACTGAAGGTATCAAATTTGAATTATTGTGATTAAGAATTCATTTGGAGGAAGTTATAAAGTGACAATTGTTCACTGTGATTGAATTGATATTAGATTAAATAGGATGATGGGTTAGATCCTTTATTAAGGTAAGGATCAAGTTTGATAGCCTCCTATCATTAGTTTTTTACTGTCATTGTTCCACTATCGTGGTTAGCATTGAGACATTCTCTTACTATTATTATTAGTAAAAATTGTGTCTTTTCATTGTGTGAAAAATATATAGATTAATTGGATCATGTCGAGTGTTTCTTCCCTACCTCCCACATATCTAAGTGCCTCTTACAGAGCTCAGATGCCTCCCTCTAGGAAGGAAACTGGGAGTCAGAATTACCTTAGGTGATTGGTATCACCTATATGTTGCTCTTGTATCTCTAAAGTGATACAAGCTCCTGGGGAACGTACTGGGACTTCAATGGGAAAACACCAATCCAAGCAAAAAATTCAATGACGACGCATTGAAATCCCTGGAAAACAAATCAATCAGAAACTAAAAAAAGTTTAAATAATAAATTTAATTTTATTTAACCTGATGTGAATTACACTCATACTATTGTTAAGAATAAACAAAATGAAAGTTAATTTTTAAGGCATGCTTTTTTTAAAAGCAAACGTTCACAACTTCTCTCGTTTCTTTATGTAAAAAATATAAAACATCTTCAGAGGCATCACAGCTAGTCACAAGCCAAAGCTGTCTCCGAGAGCCTCATCCATATATAAGTTTTAAAAGTGAAGAGTATACTGCTTCCGCGCGCGATTTCTTGTTTCTATTATTTTTTTTTTTTACTTTTATTTGTGCGAATTTAGAATAAATAAGTATAGATAAAAAAACACTACTCTTTTTCCACAAAAACAAAGTGGTAAAAAAAATTATTTTAACCGTTTATCTACCGAATTATGATTTAACTGCAGTTTTTTTTCCTGCAATATTTTTTTTCTAATCAATACATTAAAAATTAGAGGATATACACAAACAAAATACTCAACTTTGGTAAATTTAATCCGTTAGAGCTAATTAATTATTTAAAGATAGTCAACTGTAATATTAATTATATACACTGTTCACTTAAAATAAATAGTCATTTCGTTTTCTAAGGTCTTCATTAACAAACAAAAAAAATAAGACCCTTACCTCTTGACATTAACTATTTTTTCGAAACAAAAATAACAACCTTCGCAATCCGCTGAAAACGTCGTCAGTTGAAAACGCAATTTCTGCTACAAAACTATTCGCCTTCCCGGCTTAAATATATACTCATCATAGACCCAGTGCTGCCATATATCTTGGAAGAATGGATTTTACAGAATATGCCTGCTAAATATCGTCAGAGTATTCGTAAAAATGGTTATTCTATGTAACTTTAACGTTAGTGGTACTTATAAGTATATACCGTTGGTAGATAAAGAGTTAAATCATTCAAAGAGTGTAAATGAATATTAATCTCTTAAATTTTGCGCTAAACCACAGAATTTTTTTAAAAAAGTAAAAGAATAACAAAATAATAATAATATATCAGCTATACTAAAAAATACAGTCATAATAAAAGAAAACGAATTTGTATCAACTGAACGAAATAAATATCAAAATATGGTTAAGCAAAGCATGGAAGACCAAAATAAGAAAATTTGTAAGCACTTTCGAGCATTTAATAATTGAACTACATTCAATCCAAGACATTACCGAAGTTTTCTAAATTTCAAGCGTCAATAAAAATAATATTACAAAAAAAATTTTAATCAATTTTTACTTAGGTCACCAAAGAATTTTAGTTTAGTTACTTTTTATTAAATAATTACTATTAATATAAATATATATATACATATGACAGAATCACACTATTAGGTGGCAAAACAGAAAGCGTTTTTTCTTGCCATTTTCCATTTTCATTGCTTTATAGGGTATTGCACTATCATTTTTGTTTTTGTTACTATTTATTCATTAATTATAAATTTAATTATTCCAAGAAAACAATATAGAAAACTAAATCACATTTACAGAAATTAGGCCATCCCAGGTGGGATTCGAACCCACCACCTTTAGATTAGAAATTCAACGCGCTAACCATCGCGCTGCAGGGACACGGCGATCGAGTTTCTTTTATATATATGGCGTTGGACTATTATTTTTGTTACTATTTATTCATTAAATAAATTTAATGAATAAATTAATATTTGAAAAAACTGTATTGACGTCAAGTGTCATTCATTATAAGTTTAAAAAATGTATTTCAACTTGAGTGGATGAATATAAAGTATTTTATTAACGATTGAAAATTTGAACAAGATATATATATCTTTATTTACACACACACACACACACACACACACATATATATATATATGTAAGGAGAGTTAAAACTATATAATAATGGTAATTGAAAAATACCACACATAAACCATTTCAATTGTGTGTGTGTGTGTGTGTGTGTGTGTGTGTGTGTGTGTGTGTGTGTGTGTGTGTGTGTGTGTGTGTGTGTGTGTGTGTGTGTGTGTGTGTGTGTGTGTGTGTGTGTGTGTGTGTGTGTGTGTGTGTGTGTGTGTGTGTGTGTGTGTGTGTGTGTGTGTGTGTTCTGTTAGATTTACTGGCGATTCCAAGAAATATAAGATTATTAATGGTTTTCCTGCGCCTCAGTAATAGGGATGAATATTCCCTGTACAATTATGTCATTTCTATAAATAACTAGTTGTTCCCTATGCCTAGACACATGTGACCGTATTTTTTATGATGCGTTCTCCCCTGCATATAAAACTTGATTTTTGAATAATTCCATTTTTTTTTTTTTTTTTTTTTTTTTTTTTTGCACTGTACAAGGAGCATGCTCAAATAAATGATGTGAACACGATCAAGACTTTAATTTTTCGGCCACGTCCACTTAACCACCTCTAATCAAAATGTCAATTTTTTGCAGGCAAATATATTGCATATATATATATATATATATATATATATATATATATATATATATATGAGGTGAGGTTTCACACGTCACCTCAGGTAGGAAATGAACATAAGGGCATAGTTCACATTGAAACATATTTAATTAGTTAAAAAAGGTGACGGCACAACGCAAATACTACATTAAGATGGATAAAAAGGAGGGCGGCGGCTGCCCTTTACATCAGCTAGAAAACTATCCACGAAACATTTCCATTCTCTTTTCACCACGTTTACGGCTCAGTTCTACGTACAATATGTCTGCCAGAAACAGTTAGTCACAGTTGCAGCCAATGATGTTGGTTTTAGTTAAGAGTGGATGCTGCGCCAACTGGCGTGTTGTGTGTGTGTGTGTGTGTGTTGTGTGTGTTGTGTGTGTGTGTGTGTGTGTGCGTGCGCGCGCTTCATTTTTATTTTACATTTTATCTAATTTTTAAAAGAAAAGTGTTCTATCCTTCTGTTTTTATTCCATCTTTTAAATGTAACCGTGTTTGAAATTATTAAATGAAAATGTTTATTTCACAAAAAAATGTCCTTCAGTCGAACAATTTATTAATACCTTTTTTTAAAACAAGGAAAACTTTTAAAATCAATAAAATAATTTACATAATGAGGCATGTAACATTTTGTAAATAAAAATTCTTACTATTGACAATATTAGCTGCACGGAAAAGAGCAACATAGTGATATTCCAGATTGGCAACACATTAAATATTTCAACGCCGACATAGCATCATTGATACGTATACAAAATAAATTTATAAGGCACGTTGCAACACTGCATAGCATTCAATTCACAATTGGAATTCTCATTAGTTAATAGTGCTCAAAAGACTACATAATACCTCTTAACAGAATATTACCTAAAAGCCAGCCAATCAGCGTGTCTTACTGAAATGTTTACTAATTGATTTCAGGAACAGATGCGTAGTATAATCAGTCTTTTCACGCGTTCATGTAAGGCTGCAAATTGGATGGAATGTTTCAATTTGATTAGGTTGTATTAATATTGCGTTGGAGCAGCTCATCACAAATTATTGGAAATAATATGTAGTTAATACTGTTATTAAAATGAATAGAGATTTAAATGCACCGAATCACGACGATTTGGAAATGAGATTCATTCAGGATGTTTGAATAGGTGAAAAATACGGACATTGAAAATTCCGAGTCACTTCCAAAAGCATTATGTTTAGAAACACTGATTAAATAATACGAAGTAATATTCAAAAGTTCCCGGAGTAGATCTGTAACTTCAAAAATATTACCAATTAAACTGTTTTGAAACACATTCTCTTTGAAATAAGACCCTTTGTGACGGCTCTAACCGTGATCTTCTTACTAATAGTCCTCTTGAGGAATTTTCGGTCCTTAAAAATTATTTTGTTAGAAAGCTTCCTCCGAAGAAGAAAACGTGTGAATGCAAATTAAGACTACTGTATAAAGTCTAGGCTTTCTGGTTAGAAAGGGAATATTCAAAAAATGGCAATTAAATTTTTTGATAGTATGCCAAATTCTAATAGCTTTAATATGTTAAATCTTGAAAATTACAATCCTCATGTCAATACTAAGATGCCCAGAAGAATCTTTCTGGACTCTTATAATCCCCCCTAGTAATTAATTGCGTTATTCCCCTCGTGGCGAATGACCATTTTCTAATTTTTCATTTTGCTTTTATGTTTCCTTTCTTAATTTTAAATTATTCTCAATCTACAACCCACACGGGCAAGCACTTTTTTCCAATCAGTTTCAGTTCCTAACTTCAAGACAGCGAATAGAGTGTTAACTCACTGATTCTTTTAGTCCACTAATCAGGAAGCTCTATCTCAATCCAGGCCTCTCCACTTCAAGGCCCAAATACATTTCGAGATGGGATGGAGGAACGTTTCGCGTTCCATTTCCCAAAGATGTCAAGCTTTCGGTTAGAAGGAGAGAGGTAGAGTAGACTGCTAGCGGAGCAGTGATTAATCAAATTTAAAGTGTGACGCAGATATTTAATAACTGATAATTGCAATAATTAAGGTTTAATCGAGATTAGATAGCTAGGAAGTCTGAGTAATTGGATTGTGAAATGTGTTACAAGTAAATAAAGTCTTCTCATATCGTGCGTGCGTACCTCGTTAATTGTCTTTACATATATTTATATTGGGTGCATCTCTTAACTTTGATAGATCGAACTTATGTTGTGGTTTGTGGTGTAAATAAATTAAGTAAATTTGAATATGGCTAGTCTTCCTTCCTTTTCTCCCACATCTTCAGGCGCGGAGGCAAGATCCTTACACCTTGAGCAACAACACAATTTTGCAATACCTTGTAAAGGTCATCAGAACATTTCTGGAATCTATTTTTAGCTATGTCTTTTAATTCAGCTTACGATGCACTTTTAATTTCATCTGCAGATTGAAATCGACGACCCTGACAGGGACGTGCCAGTTCAGAAAATAGTTTGAAGTCGCAGAAGGTGAGATCAAGGGAATAAGAAGCATATGACAAAATTATTTTCGTATCCACCCTATCGTTGTTTGAAACCTGTTCTTGCGTACCGCCACAGAAACCTTTTCAATGTTTTCAGCTGTGGAAAGTCTGCAAACGTCCAGAGAGTTCGTCGTCTTCGACACTTTTCGTGCCTTCCCTGAAATGTCGATGCCACTCAAATGCTTGTGAATGTATCACTGCTGTACATATGCTTCAACATTTCGTAAGTTTCCGAAGCGCTCTTTCCCAAGCGAACACAAATTTAATATTCATTTTCTGCTCTACAAACGTTATTTCCTTCAATCGCCGGTGACTAAACGCATCCACCTACAAAACAAGACGCCGTGACGAGCCACTAACCACTTGATTTAGGACAAATCACTTTGAGAACTGGACAACACAGAAACGCTATTGTAGTCAGACTGCAAAAATTCTTCGCGTTACAGGCTCAGTCGGGAAACTTTTGAATCCTTCCTCTCGTATATGCACAATAAAACAAATTACAAAGAAAACTTGATAGTTACATCTCATAGTATAAAGATATGCCAAAAATTCAACGAAATGCAGACGTTTACCAATGAAAAGTATAAAAACCCTAAAAAAAAATTATGTAATCAAGGAGTTGTCATATTCGGCCGCGATAGCCTAATGGTTATGGTCAAGAACTCGTGCTCGGTATGTCAGGAGGTCAAGTGCCACTGAAGACTCACCGAGTAGAGGAGCTGATGCAAGTTAACCAGTTAACAGTGATTGATGAGTATACTCGTCATGGATTAGTTGCTGGTTTTTGTGTCTTGACAAGCATATTCGTCATGGATTAGTTGCTGGTTTTTGTGTCTTGACGAGTATATTCGTCATGCGTAAAAAGTAGCAACCACATTGGCTACTTAAATTATTGTTTTTGAAGGGGGGAGGACATATTCTTAAATTTCAAAGTATAGAAATTTTAAGATGGAACTCATGAACCGGCTGAAAAGAGCATAAATTCGCATAACGAATTTATTTATGTGCAATGATGTTTTTTAGATGTTAGCCTAAAATAGGGGAAAAGGCAAAAGTCAGAAAGTTGATTTAAAATAGAGTTCCTTCAGGTATAGTCAGCCATGGCACAAATGCGTAATGCCGACCAAGCGCTGAGCCCATTGATAGCTGCTGGCCTGAAGTTGCCAAGCTATCGAGAGGTGTAAATGCCAATTGTTTGATGTTAGAACCCTGTGCTGATATTAGAGTAATGGCTGAATGCCATGAAGCTGAAAGAACAGTTATTGGGAGGGGGGTAAGAAAGTCAAGAATGTGTGTGTGTGTGCTAAATCAGAGTGTGTTAAGGCCTCTCAGTCCGGAAATTTCGATGGTCACTAAAATTCATAGATATCCATAAAAATTTACTATCGAAAGGACTGTTGGTCTCAAGAACCCGTAACCAAGCTAAATCCCTTTATAACCCCAAGCATAGACCCCCAGTACAATAAGTATTGGTAATAAAAAAAATCGGTAATTTTATAAAATAAACCCATCTTTTCGATTCAATATTTTAACAGCGACATGGCGATTGACCCACTACCTTTTGTGATAGTTTTAACATTCCAATGCTAAAAATTTGACCCAATTCTGTTAGATTTTTAGATGTAAACAAAAAACTAATCTTTCATATTTAAATCAATATTAAAAAG